TCTCTCCCAAACAAGCTCTAAGGTTACACTTCTCAACCTCAAGCCCCTTGTTTGTATCAATTAAAATTTAAAATTTAATCTAAATAAAAATTAATAATTAATTTTAACAACATATTTTATACGTCCCACAATTTTTTAATCACACGCTTCATTAACTTTTATCAAAATTTATTAAAAATTAGATTTTAATTCCAATCAAACAAGGTCTGAAGTTTTGTATCCTCAATTTATTTAAATTTATGAAAATGAATCTCCACATAATTATAGTTCTCAACGCGAATGCTAAAATCGCACCAAAATTTCAGTTAAGTTGAAGAAAAATGTTCAGAGTTACGACGAATTGTCCTCCAACTTCAAGTCACGTAAAAAGTTTTAAAATTTATATTATCAATTTCGATCACGTGAAGACTCAGATTTAAATAGATTCAGAGCCCATAATCGACCATGTGAAATGTTTTGTAGTGCAACCATAATTTTTTCCTAATTCGATTGTATCTTTCACAATATTTCCTCGTTGTATGCGACAAAACCAAAATCTTATTTGGATTTATGTCGTGCTTAGCCCTCTGTTAATAAGTCTAATTAACTCGTAATGTGTGTCGTTTTATTACCGGTCATGTCATGTAACTAAAAAAACATGCATGGATTTGCAAATATTTGAGTTTGTCCCTATTAACATCGGACCCTTATCAAGGAATCTATTACGCAAATTTTGAGGATCAATAAAGTAAAATGTACACAGTTAATTCATATTAAATTTCACACTCCCCTCACATAGAGGTAGGGCCCACAATCCCAGGCACCACCCTCATGTGAGGGGGATGTGAAACTTAATGTGTACCAAATCTGTACATCTAGCATGGTTCTTTGAGGAATAATCTTGCCGACAAATAGTTTTGTACTCCAATAAGTTATGTTGACCCCTAAAAATGAGCTCAACAGATGCCAGGTACACTCTTGTCACGTCAAGTATGATTCCGTAGCGTTTTTACTGGAATGACGGCGGTAATCTGTCGAGAATGTATGCGGGATGCACTTTCCGGCAAGAGACGAAAACATTCGGACTTCGGCGATTTGAATCAATGGCAATCGCGCTATCAACAACTGCCGGACAAAATAACCAAGAATGTCTCTTTCTCTCTGTTTAAAGGAATATATGGAAGGATAGATTGGGGGAGTAATTTGTGGGAGTAATTTGTGGGAGATTCAAAGTGTTTTCTACTTGAATTTGTACTCCACTTTCAGATATGAAAGGGTTAATAGAGAAACTGCTAAGTATTCTTCCTTTATCTCTTGAGAGTTTACAATGCATACGTGTCTTCTTCCTCTCCCCTCTCTTTGTACAAGGAGAAGCTATTTATACTACCATGACTGATGTGATGATCATTGGATCAAAACCACGTGGAACCACGTGGGCCTCAACTTCAAACTTCAATGCTTCACATAGGAGGGAGGGGTTCGGCATCAGCTTCGGATTTCGGTGAAAGGACTTCTGATGTTTGTCTCTTTTACTATTTTGACTTCATTGACCTTCTGTGACTTTCCTGCTAACTTTCTGTCCACGTGGCTTTGCTATCCACGTAGATGTCTCTCCTGGAGCCTCAGAGGCGAGGCATAACAAGTTATATAATTATTTTTATATAATAAAATGGTGGGTTTTAAAGTTTTCTTTTCGGGCAGTTGGTAAAAAAAGGTTATTATAAAATATTGGTCCAATTTTAAATAATTATCCATGTCGTGTGAAAACAGAAATGTAATTAATTAATTTCACGACTGCATTAAGTAAACAAGGATAATTATTATTTAATTAAATCTAAGAGAGATGGGTTTTTGCACTTCTCTCAGCACATGCTTAGATACTAGCCAACCACCATAAACAAATATAAACAATAAGATATTGAGATCCACCTAATTAAATTAATAAAACATATAATTATTAATTAATGAACAAGCAACCTTGAGTGAGGACAAAAAAAGTGTGCCCTTTTCAATGCGAAACATATATTCCGAAATATCATTTCACAATCTTTAGCGTAAACTTTACGTCAATTACATAGATTTGATCTCTTTGACAATAAGAATTTTTTTTTTTACGTGAACCCACAAGTTAATGTACGCGGTTTTTAGTTGTTCTAATTGAAACGGCGTATTCGATAGAATTCTTATAACATTGATTATTATTGCAAAAACACAAGATTCAAAAATTATGATAGAAAGTATTGACTTTAGACTTGATTATAAATTTTGAATTGAACCAACCATAGTATGTGATTTTGTTAGGCCCGCTAATCATGCAAAGATTGAGGAACTCCCAAGGGTACACGGAGTTCTTTGAGTGGGATAATTAATTAATTATCCCTATGTGTCACAATCCTAATGGCCCTTCACTATATTATTTACTTCATTGGAATTTAATTAATATAAGATTAAATTTTGTCCTTATCCAACCTCCATTCTACTATATATGTAACCAAGTCCAACATCTCCTCTCCCCCTTCTTGCTAGAGTTTTAAGGGAGAGATATAATAGGAAACGTGAAAAATGATCAAACTAAGATCGAAAAGGTTATTCAAAAGCAGCTCTAACATTGCTAAGGGTGAAGCAATTCACGGTGTTGGTGGAGCCACCGTAAAGAGATGTGGAGTCATTGATGGCGAGATCAAATGGGAAGTACGTCCTGGAGGCATGCTTGTTCAAAAAAGAGATTGTAAAGAAAGTGATAACGAAGTGTTGATCACAATTAGAGTCTCTGCAATCTCCAAATGGCATGAGATATCAGTTCAAGCAACCTCAACTTTTGGTAAGTCTCGATTTTAATTTATCCTAGTCCATCGATTCATGTTTTGCCCAAGGAAATTTTGATTTTGTATGTTCGGCTAAATTTAAAAGTTAAGTTTTAAGTAAGCTTATATAGCACTTTTACTTTCTTTATCAAGGTTAGCGGGGCGTGCTCATAGTTTATAATTAAACGAATTAGAATGTCAACATAACGAAGACCGCAAAAGAAAAAAAAAATGTCATCATATTCAAGTCGTACTAACTGGGTTTTTCTTTGTATTTATTAAATTTGCAGGAGAATTAAAGATGATATTGTCATTGTTAACAAATTTGGAACCGAAAGAGCAAAGGCTATTATTTAAAGGGAAAGAAAGGGAAGACAATGAATATTTGCACTTGGTTGGGGTAAGAGATAAAGACAAGGTTCTTATGTTAGAAGATCCGGCCATCAAAGAGAGGAAGCTTGTCGGGTTGGCGGATCGCCAAGTCATCGGATCACCTTGTCGGACCATCACTATCTAATTAATCAAACTAATTACTTGAAATTAATTTACAATCTTATGATTTGTTAAATTACACTTATCCATAGGATAAAAATAATAGGAAGTGGATTTTGTGAAGGTAAAGTTGTTAAGATATGTAGATAATGACTTGAATGTATGAGTCGCAGCTCAACATCGAGTGGTCTCAAATCTAATTACTCCTAAGTCAGTTGAAACATATTGATGGGTTGGTTGACTCCGATCATGACTTGGTTGAGCAGTCTTCTTTCTGTACTATTGATCTCGAGCCTTCGTAATTTAATGATGTTCTATATTTTTCTTCGTATTTCTTGTTCACAATTCTACTTTCAATTGATTTTACCAACTACTAGTATAAACATTTTTCAAGAATTAGGTGAAAGCAACGTGCAATGTACGTTTGCTTAGTTCATATTTAATTTA